CCAAAGTACCAACTAGATTCACTTTCTGATCGAACGAGGTACTGAAGTCAAAAATCGAAGCATTTTTACTGCCCCAAAACGTGATGACAGACACAAAAAAAAAAAAAAAAAATTAAAAAATAAAATAAAAACACACATCATGGTAAAATCAATACATTCATCGCTCCGCTCAGAATCTAAAATTAAACATTGTAAATCAATGTTCATAGATTGTTCATCGTATGATTTAATAGATTTTTGGATTAATAGAAAACAATTTTAAAACTTATTAAATGTAATCATAATATGATGGTTATCTTCTTAATTTGTTCTTATAATATATAACTATAATAAATTATTTATTTAAGTATGAAAAAAAATATTTTATAAACTTGTTGAATTAATTAATTAAATTATTTCTGTAATATTATGATAGTCTTTTTTTTATCTTTCCATAAATAATTCATAACCAATTCAATTTGTTGATTCACGCATAATTTTATGTAGATACCTATATCTACCACTACCTGTTATTGTTTATTCCTACGGTATGAAGGTAGATCTAACTTTAGGAACTATACAAAATGTCTTTTTATGTAATTATTTATACCTAATCTAATAGATTATGAAAGAAATAATGAATATATATATCACTTAATAAATTTAATTTAGAAATAGTTGTTAATAATATTAATGTTTAAAGTTTGTGAGAGGCACATTATAATATGTCCAATGTCCATGAATTTATAAGTGATGCTATCTATATATGTTGGCCATTATCAAAATCCTTTCTCCAAGTTATGTCCAGTAACGAAAGCCCTTTTGACCCATTACATCACAATCAGAGGTGTTTAAAGTGAAATTAACGTTACATGTTTTTATTACAAAATTAACTTGACTTACTATGGCTTTTCAATTATCTAACATTGTAATTGATAATTTTTATACAATTACAAATTTGAATTTAAGTATAGTTAGTTGGAAAATAAAAATAATTGCTTTGTCTAATACTCTAATGATTAGGTTATAATGTAGTAGTAATACAATAAGCTATTTCAAACAGTAAATTTTTAGTTTTAGTTATTTGCTTCCTAAAATACGTTCTTTGATTAAATTAATTGTTTATTATTAAGTAGTAAATTCAAATTTTTGAAGTTATTTAAGTGGACTGTAGCCTTTCACTCAAAATGTTTGGGATCGCCTTAATGTTATACCTATATATTATAATTTATT